TGCTTGCAGACCATTTAAGCAGATTTTGCCCCGAATTGGATCAAACGGGGAAGAAAATTCTTCAAAGTTACAAGACGTTTCTTCTTCAATTGCTAGTGGTGATCCGATCAGCTAATTGATCCTCGAATTAATCAAAATAAAATTTATTTGAGGAACTCAATATTTAGTTGTAATACTTGAATATTCAATTTTGTTAATTCGGCCTTCAGCTCCCAATGGTAAACTACCAAGGCTATTTTACTCGGTTGTGGTCGTCTGATGCAACGTTTTTATTTTGTAAATTAAATATTTAACAGTAACTTAAGAGCTCTTGTACTCTTTTAGCTCTTGAGCAACTTTGAGCTCTTGAGCCAGTTTGAGCACTTGAGCTACTTTCAGCTCCGGAGCCACTCTGAGCTCTTAAGACACTTTTTGCTAAAAGCGAAATATAGCAAATATTAAAATGTCACAAATTGAGTTAAAATTTTTCGTTAACTCAAAAAATTTATTATTATACCAAAAATTCTATTCTTAGAAGCAAAATTTTCCACCAAAAAATATTTTATTACCATTTTGGAATATTTTGAAAAAAAAAATCATAACAATATCGATTAAATTTCTTAGATCTCTTTCATTTATTCATTGAATTTTTGTTTTTTAATAAAAATATAAAGGCACCTATATATGTACATAATCTTACACAATAATAATTTAGATATCAAAAACATACTATTATTAAATAATTATGAATTCATTATACATAACATATTTAAATTCATATACATACATATTCATGTATGACAAAATGGTAGAAATAGAAAAGATTTTATATAAAAAAAAAAATTTTAATCTTAAAACTAATATTTTGAAAGGATAACAGAATAATAAACCGAAACAACAAAGCAAAACAAAAAAATTAATAAATAAAATATACATAAAAATATCCTTAAAAATATCCCTCAGTGTCTGTTATTAATAAATTTTTCCCATAAATATTCTATTTTTATTTGAAATAACAAATTTTTCTGAAATGAAATATAGGTAAATTTTGTATATACACAGAGAAAAAAAAATTTAACAAAGCAAAATAAAATGGAGAAAAAAAACCAAAATTATTATTGTGTAAATTATATTAGAGATTAAAATGTAATATACATAATTCATAATACAAACACATACATTTATATACATACATATACGTATACATGTATATATATTGTGTGTTTCAAATTGTATAATGTTTCACTTTGTTTACATAAAATGTATTTGAATATTAATAGTATCCTTTAATTAAAGTTTTTTTTTCCTATTTATAAACGAAAAACATAACAGTTTGCGTGTGTGTGCGTATTGTAATATGTATGATTGGAAAATAGAAGCTTATATGTATAGGAATTTATGTGTATATAGAAATATAATAACATTTTGTTTTATTATTCTATACGTCATGTAATTTATGTTGGCCTTTATTGACATTTTGTTTTTAATTTTTTTATATAAAATTTTTTATAAATATTTTATAAATACTTTATTATTAAAAATAGATATTAAATTTTATTCTTTATTTTTATAAAGAAATGTAGAGAACAATTATATTGCATAAAAGAAATGTAGACAACAAAATTTGCATAACTTTAGGAGGAATTGAAAAAATTATTTTAGAAAAAACAATAAATTTGACTGTTTGTTAGTTTAGCTGTTACAAAAATAACTGATTTTATAACAATTCACAAATACTCGTAATTCTTTAAAATTTTAAAGGCTTAATAAAATTTTATAAAATTTTCAATGCATATTAAAAATTCCTTATAAAAATGGTAACAAAATCCTATATTGTATTCACATTTTTCTAAAATTGGTTACTTTTTATGGATATTTTTAATTTGCAACAAAAGAATGATTTTAATTTATTTATTATTTTTTATAAGAAATGAGTTGTGGAACTAGAATAATGCGCTCATCCCCCACACTTTACACATTTCGCTCCATTTTTAATTTATTTTCTTTATTTTTACTTTATATGCTATTATAAGTTTAGGATTGTAATGTAGATCCAATTTATGTAAACAAAGTTAGTAAAAAAACTGACTGACTACTTCAGTCAATTATAAGAAATGCACTCAATTTTACCTTAAAATCAAAATACTGTCAAACAGAGACTCTTAATATATTAATATTTTTTATTCTAAACAATATTCGTTTAGAAGTTGACCATTATTTGGTTCAACCGTGTCTCAAGATTTGATATTTTGAGCAATATTAAGCAAAATCTTGTATACATACATTGTTTCCTGTATAATACAGGCCAAAAACCAGAGTGTGATATCTTATCATATTTAAGTATTAGATGGCTATAATGATAATGGTAAATTTTCCCAACAACAATTGCAACATTGTTAAGCATTTGCCCAGACTCACAATAAAAAAATTTTTACTATACAAAATATGATTTTAAATTTAAAAAATTCTACTTTTTTTTTTAGATATTTAAAAATACAACATAAAAAATATATAAATTTTTTTTCATTTTTTTCAAATACTCATAATACTGGCAATAACGTTATCATTGAAATCATCATTTTACTGGTTATGAAGTAGGTTAATGTTACAATATTAAAAAAACACAACGATAACAGTGTATAACACATGTTGTATGCCAATGAAAGGTAAAAGGATGTAATGAAACGTATATTGATCTAGTTTTCAAAATCACAATGATGCTGTCATAGTGTCTATGTAAATGAAAGCAAAATGAATGTAGTAAGTGTATACACATGTATGTATATCAAAATGCGTATATACTTACTTACAAGTTTATATTGATTTTAAAATGCAAATATCGACAAATAAAAATATTAAATTGAAATGGAAAAATTTATTTAGAGTTTGCTTGGAAACTCGCAGCCGTATAAATATTTATGCGGAAGATATTTAAAATCACGGATCTTTTACCGTTTAGCCGCAAATCGCAACTTCGGATCTTTAAGATTTTTCACAAATTATAACCATTTTTCATATTAACGGTGTAGGAACTACTTTCATTAAACTTTCAAAAATTTCATTAAAAATCATGTATCTCTTACCGTTTAGCCGAAAATCGCAACTAGAGATCTTTAAGATTTTTCATAAAAACTTGCCATTTTTCACATTAACCGTGTGAGAACTATTTTGTTTAAACTTTCAAAAATTCCGTTAAAAATCATATATCTCTTACCGTTTAGCCGTAAATCGTAACTCGAGATCTTTAAGATTTTTCATAAAATCCTAACATTTTTCATATTAACGGTGTGAGAACTACTTTGATTAAACTTTCAAAAATTCCGTTAAAAATCATGTATCTCTTACCGTTTAGCCGAAAATCGCAACTCCAGATCTTTAAGATTTTTCATAATATCCTAACATTTTTCATATTAACGGTGTGGGAACTACTTTGTTTAAACTTTCAAAAATTCCGTTAGAAATTATGTATCTCTTACCGTTTAGCCGTAAATCGCAACTCGAGATCTTTAACATTTTTCATAAAATCCTACCATTTTTCATATTAACGGTGTGAGAACTATTTTGTTTAAACTTTCAAAAATTCCGTTAGAAATCATGTATCTCTTACCGTTTAGCCGTAAATCGCAACTCCAGATCTTTAACATTTTTCATAAAATCCTACCATTTTTCACGTTAATCGTGTGAGAACTACTTTCATTAAACTTTCAAAAATTTCATTAAAAATCATGAATCTCTTTCCGTTTAGCCGTAAATCGCAACTCCGAAAGCAAGGGTTACGGTAGGAGGCATGACAAAATAATGACTAAGTCATGCTTATGGTTTGCTGTTAATATTATTATTCGAAATTAATAATTTTACCTTTAGGGTACGAAGTTTTTGGAAATTGTACTCCAAAACAATGGAACTCTTAAAATGCATTTCAAAAAACCTATTCTCATTAAAAATTCATTCCGATTCAATTTATTCGAATCATTATTTCATGAGCCCACCTAGCTAATTTAATAATCAGGAAATATAAAGGATATTCGAACAGAAATATTTAATTTTTAATATTACAAACGAAAAATCAAAATCTTAATAAACTGCTCAGATTCGGTGGAAATTACAGAAACCCTCATAAAAATGTTATGTAACAACATAGGAAATATTTAAATACAAAAACAAAATAAATGTAATAATAAAAGGGAAATAGATTGAATAAAGTGATTTTTGCACCAACGACAAAAAATGCCAATATTTATACAATAATTGCTTTTATAAAAAAAAGAAATATTTGTGCAAAATTGAGAAAATGTTTTAGTCGGCTTTATTGAACACTTTAAGAGTAATTTTAACAAAACTTATTAAGAGCGTCTTATTTCTGGAATAAGCTCTTATCAAACACAGAAAATAATTTAAAAATATTTTAACGCATTGAGCCCTATGTTCATCGGAGTGCAGACTTTACGAAACAATTTAGATTTGCTCTCCGAAAGCTCAATGTGACTCAACGTGGTAAATCTACATAAATCAAAATTTAATTCTTTTATAAAACAAACCTACTTTTGCCTACTGTTATTTTTTTCATTACCTCTTGAGCAATAAACTCAAATGCAGAAAGAGAGAGAAAAAATAAGAGTTTCGTACGACATCATTCTTCATTACAAAGAATACGCTACATACGATTCATACAAAAAATCTCTTTGTGTTACGAAACCAAATTAGTACATCCTCTCGAATATATGGATCGCCCTTAAATATTTTAATTATTAAAAATTTTTTTAACTTAAATAATGTTTTTTCTAAAATCTGTTATAATAACACCAGCTGCACAAAATACAAATTATTAATAATTAATTACAGTATTACATTTTTTAATTTAATAAAATAAATATTGAAATTTTATACCTATAAAATAATATTTTGTTTATTTTTTTTTTAATTATTAATAAATAATTAGTAATAATTAATTATTCTATTATATTAAATTCAATAATAAATTAATTTTTAATAATAAGTTTTTTTTTGTTTTATAATTACAGTTTCGCCAGAATCTATTGTTATACCAATTGTTTCATGCATACTTGGTTTTCCAATATTAGCATTAATGGTAATTTGTTGTTTACGTAGACGTGCTAAAATTGCAAGAGAACGTGATCGACGCCGACATTATGATATGGAAGGTCATGCCGTCAGCCTGGTCAGATTTAGTCCTATTCATAGGCTCAGTGAGTCATTCTAAATGTGTCTTTTTCTTAATATACTATAAAAACAAATTTATTAATAATATTGAAAAAAAAAGAGAAACATGGTAGAGGGGAGAAAAAAATTTTTTTGAATGCATTTTTTTCTCTTTCTTTCAATTTAATTTTTTTCTAAAGAATTCTCAAATTCTTAAAGTTTCTTATGGAATTTTAATTTTTAAATTTTATAATTAAATTTTTTTAATATTTTAATTAAAAAATTTTATGCTTTCTGTTCGGAAACTTAAACTTAAAATTATTTAAATTTGTTAAATTGTTTTAATTATATCCGAAAATTTGAGAATTCAAAAGTTTATTTTTTGCTACAGAGAAACTTTTTTTTTCTACTCTATTAAGAGCAAAAATTTTAATTTTTTTTTTTGAAAATGAAAGAAATTGAGAATCAAAACGAATTCTTTTTCATTTAATTCCTCGTTCTACAACTTTTAACATTCAATATTTTCTCTCTTACAAAGTTTTCTACATAGTTTATAACAGTTTCCATAAAAATAGAGGAAGAAATTTTAAACTTTTTTATCTTTTTATTAAATTTTTTAAACTCTGAATATCTTTAGTATTTTTCGTGCTCTCTTGAATTTTGCATGAATTTACATTACCACTTCTGTTTTATTGTAGACTGCTATTGACTTTAGTGTTTTTAGTATTTCAAAAAAAAATTTTATGTCTTAATTTTATGGTGTAAGCGTTTTTTTTCAGAAAAATATTTTTTTTTTATTTCTACTTATACATTTTTATTTTCAAGTAGTTTTTATTATAAAACTATTAGTACATAGATTGTTGCAAAAGTTTTAAAAATTCGCTAATTTTTCCTGGATGTTCAACAAAATCCTAAATGGCACTTTAGTGCATTCGTTTTGCAGTTTATCAAATGATATTCCTGTACATTTTAAAGCTGGTTCATAAATAGAATTAAAATTCCATCATATTTAAGAAGTTTAATTGTGTGACCAAATTGTTTCCAGGTAATACATGCGGTCAGATTAAAATAAATAGACATTTATGATGTGTCGTAAAATAGATTCGGTCACACAATATTCTTTCCAGAAATTTTTGAAGCCATACTGACTTGAATACTTACAAACTGCATTGTTTATGAAGGCATATTATACCGCTAGAATCAATAGAAATTTTATTTGCCTGTATTTTCATTGTGATTTCAAATTTCCAGCACTTTTGAAAAAACCCTCACAAAATACTTTTCGAAATATTTTTTGTTTAAGTAAAATAATTGCATCGATTTTTTTTTTTTACTTGATAAACAGCAAATATTTGTTATGAATACAAAGTGTCTTTTATTGAATTGAATGGTGTAAAAAAGTTTCTATTTTTAAATTAATTGAAAAAGAGTCACTTTATTGAATGTAGATTGAACATTGTACTAATATTTTTAAAAAATTATTTTAGTTAGTCCTAAATAAAATGCAAAATAAAATGAAAATTTGGTATTCTAAATGATTGTTCCTGGTCAAAATTTTAGAGCTTCAAATTTGACGATATTTCCAAGAGTTCCGAATTATAATGTTAAGTTTTCTAAAGGGATTTGATTTTTAGAATAACATACCAATATGATAAATTTATATTAGGGCTGTATACTCGGGTGATGTTGGTTATTTAGCGATTAATTTCACGGATCTATTCGTTCATACCAAGAAGTGTAAAAGAGTTTAAAGAACACCCGCTTTTAGCTAACAAGTGGAAACCTATGAACTCGGTCTGTGAAATATTTTCTAGAGTACATTGAGAAAATCTAAGATCCTTAAAAATTTATTGAGTTTCCAATGAAATAAGTCGGCTCTCTACCTCAAATACCAAACTTTCTTAGTCAGTCCATGTAACTACATACGAAGTTATTGAAAAATCATATGGAAAGTGCCTGTACATTTAATGGTAACAAAAAAAATTTTTCACTTACAGACCAAATAAACGAAAAAATATCAAATTTTTGTTACGTAATTTTTTTTTCTTTTTTTTTGAGGGAAATAAAAATTTTTTAGTTTTTATTTCAATTTTCAAAGATTGGCATACCATAAACGAGAAACAATAAAAATTTCAAATGAAAATTTTTAAACATTGTCTTGAATAATATTACAAGTATTAAGAATTAAATTGTAAGCATATTTTAAGCTTATAAGCAACTTGATATAAAAACACATAAAGTACAAATGTGATTTTAGAGCACATAGTTCTTTATTTAAGAGCATTAAAATGCTTAATAATAAAAATATTGACCTAATTTTATATTTTAATATTTAATTTTTATACGTCCTTGTGTAATTTTCCAAGTCATTTTAAAATTAATTTTATAATGTAGTTGTACTGTACGAGTAACAAATTACACTTTGTGTGCTATAAAAAGTTTGGTTAAAACAGATTTTTTGTTTTGTTTAAAAATGCGGAATCCCATACTATTTACCGTCCATTTATTTGCTGGGTTCCTTCAACTAAGCCTAGAAAGTGGTAGATCATTGCTTTGAGGACTGTTTGAGAAAATTTTAGAGGGAGTTGTGGATTAATTACAAGTGATCTTTTCAAGTGATTGAAGTGACTGTATATGCCAATTTTAAATTGTAGAAAATTGTGATGGCTGTTAAGTTATCTACAGCTGTTAAGTATTAAATTATATTTTTGTGTAAATGAAGCTTCTCACATTTAATTCTTACCCATTTCACATTAAATTCGAACAACAAGCACATAATTCTAGCTTTAATACTTGATTTTGCATTAATATTTCATATTAGAACTGAAATTTTTAAATCCATTCCACATAATTTCTTTAAAATGAATTTAAATTCCATGTAAGCAGGCAAAACACTTGTGTCTACTTACAAAATTTTTTAAAAAAATTAAAGATATTTCAGTTTAATTTAAATAAAAATCTTAAATATGCACAAAGCTATTATTAAAGTAATTTTTTTTATGCTTATAAATTATTAATTTCATTAAGAATAACTCTTATGTTCTTTAAAGTTTTTGACCCAAAAACAGAAAGAAAAACACAATTTTTTTTTCTTAATCTCCCAGCTTTCCCATTAGAAAAAATGTATTACCTTTGTTTAAAGCAATTAAATAATAGCAACTTTTTACAGGTGTATGAATAATAAAGCAATTTATAAGTAGGTCTTTGTAGGTATATGACATGAAAATGAATATCCTTTTTGGTAGGTATAGATGCAAAGGTACTTACTACAAAGTTATGATTCTCATAAATTCTAATTTGTGGTTTTGTCATAAAAAAAAGAAATAACAAAATATTCTTATGTTTTTTTATTCCGGCCTTTGTTCCTGAGTTACTTTGTCCCCCTTTATGTAGGTATATAGCTAGATACGATTTTTATGAAACTCATTTCTACTATTTTTAGGTTTTTTAGGAAGCTTTAAAAATATAAAAAAGCAAGATTTTTAATTTATTTTATGTGCTCTTTTGTTTTTCTTTTGTCAAAGAAATAAAGGATATTAGATTAAAAAGATGTTTTATAATGTTTTTTGAAAAAAAGGATAATAAAATTTTCTTTTTACAATATGTTGAAAATTTTTTATTCTTGTATAGAGAACTTTATCATATGGTATGGTTTCCTTAACAATATACTGGATTTAAGCGAAAAAGTGAGACAATTAATGTCATAAAAGTCATGATAATCTCATTGTATAAGGTAATAATATTAGGATGGTAATAACTTTCGTGTCTCTATTCATGTGGCTTATCAGCTATTTTGGATCATATTTGCATTCTTAATTACTCGATTCCATTACTTTAAATTCGACTTGTTTGATATTTGCTTCTAAAATTGTCATCCTGGAACTGTTAACTCCAATTATAGGATTAATTGTTCAAAATTATCTAATTTGAAATAGAGAGGAGAAAATTAAATTAAGCTTATGGAAGAACTAGTATTCAAATACCAGCAATTATTTGGGAACGTTAAAAGAAGAGTATGAGAACGTTAAAAGAAGAATGTGATAACATTTTGATCAATGAAAAATGTTCGATTGAGATCAAATTATGTTGTTGTATAAGGTTCGATTTGTGCACGTTCCTCACAAAGCACATATGTTTTATTCTTCTTTCTATCATTTAAAGTCAAATTTATTAATTAAATTCAAAATGTTTTTACTGTAGCATGAAGACTTATTAATTAATTATATAATCAATTCTGTTATATAAAATATTCTTATATAAATTTTTATTTTTTTCATAAATTTTTTGTATATAAAAATAGATAACAGATCGCCACGAGTTGTCAGTTTATGTTCTGAACGAAGTCTCAGCCGAGGTTTCCCATCATTAGAATTAGATACTGTTGTTGAAGAACGTAGTAGCGATCATGAAAATACACAAACAGATATAATTAGTCCGGAATCACCATCTGATGTTGTTAATCAACCAAAAAATTTTCAAAATAGAAATAGCTAGCATAAAATTTCAAATATAATACAACCATCAACATCAAAAATATCAAAATTAAATCCACAACAAATAATAACATCACAATCTATATTATCATCATCATCAACAACAACAACATCAACAATATCACCTAGTACATCGAAATCACATTTATCACCAAAAATGATTGGTTCATCAACAAATAGTTGTATACAAAATTATAATCCAATAATAATGTTACCAACAATTTCACCAGTTATATCAATAAGTAGTATACCAGAGAATGAAACAAATAATTTTAAATTATTATCAAAAGATTCAAAAATTTTAGTAACAGCAACAACAACAACAACAGCAACGAGGCCTTCAATATCAAATCCAAATATTGCTAGACAAAATTCAATGGAAAAACCCGATGAAAAATCATCAACAGAAACAATAAAATCAACAAGTTATATACCACAATTAACAATTGGACGTTCGAGAGGTAAAAAACGTCGTCCATTATTACGTTCTAGTAAATCAATTGAAGGTTTAACAAGTTCTGAAAAATTAAAAACTAAAACATCAACATCATCATCATCATCAATGTCATCAAGTGGTGGTAAAAAAGAGAAAGATAATGATTATAAACATTTAAGAAAAATGTATACAATATCAGCTGATATATCACCATTATGGACAACATTAACACATGCTCAAACTCTTGCCGAATATTTAGATGAAAGGTGATGTTCAGTGTTACCATCATCAAATGAACCGATTCCCGGTTGTAGTAAAGATATTAAGTAATTATTTTATATTTTGTTACAAACAGTTAAATTTTTTTTTTTTTAGTATATGCATAGAATATAGAAGAATATATTTATATAGGTATATAAATTGTAAAAATGAAAAATCATAACAATATGAAAAGATATTTGGTCAAAAAGCATTAATAGATTAAAGAAAGCAAATCATTATTGAAATAGCGAATTAAATATAACAGAAAATAATTGCAGAAATAGCATAAATAGAATATATTTTTTTTTTTCAGAAAGATGGCGTTCTTTAAGAATTTAGAATATTTTATTAATGAAATAAAATACAAAACATTGACAACATAATCCTTTAAATAGAACCTGTTAAAAATTTGAATATAAATAAAATTTACTATAAAATCCATATTATCTATTAAGCCCCTATATTGGCACCTATTTAAGCAAAAAATCTAATTGAAACAATAAGAAAATATTTAATAATTAATACAGGAAAAATGTAAAATATTTCAATTAACGCCCAATTATATGCAATTTTTTGTTTTAAGACGAGTTTTTAATGAATGAAAAACCACTCATTTTTTATTAAATTAAAAAATAACATTTATTTTAACAAACGAAAATTATTAAAATTATGTTAAAATTCTATAATATTGAACTCTTCTATTTGATGCCGCCCGTTGTAGGGATGATTTTGATTGTCGCCTAAAATTGAAAAATATTATTTACGAATTTTTTCTTACAACTTAAACTTTAACAAATTATTAACTTTAAATTACCTTCTTCTATTCGGTTGTTGTTGATATTTTCGGATAGCAAATAATGGGGTATGAATATCACGTTTATATCTTAAATTTGTTTCGGAATTCGTTTGGCCAATTTTATTTAATTGAATAATTTTGGCTGGTTTATATAAATTAGATATAGGATGAACATTTTTTTCAGCACATGATGATTCTTTCAGTGTAATAACTACAACTAAAACGAGTGCTACAAACTTAAAATATGGAAATAAAAATTTATTTAAAAATTTTCAAAGAAAATGTGTGAGAAATTTTATATAAAATGTTAATATGAATGTGTCAACTTACTATTAATCTTGTCATCCTAAAAACAAAACAACTATTAACCGTTACCGTATATTATTTAATATTTTATTATAAAAGTTAAAGTATTTTTAGAAAATGACTATAAATAACGTGGCGTGCGAGCCTTTTTATAGCAAAATACAAAAAAAAAAATTTCAATAAAATCGTAAAAGAAAGTGTTAATAATATTTGTGGAAGAAAGTGTTAATTAATTATGGTTGTAAGTCTAAGTTGCTCTATATTATAGGATAGTCAGAAAATTGTGGTTATTATTTTACTGGTCAGAAGACAAAATGTGCCAGAAATAAAATTTTAGAAAATTTTGAGGCGTTTTGGGAAAATTGCCTGGGTAAGAATTAATTGATTCGAGAATATTAAGAGGGAAAATTCTTGTAAAATAATTTGAAACGGTCCTAAATAAAATCTAGTCTGTTATACCTTTATTTTGGATTAAACTCTCTTAAGCAATTTTGCATTACTGCCACGGACTTGTAGTTTAAATAAAAATTTCATACTTTTATATTGTTACATATTATGCTTGAATGAATTGAGGCTCTTATTTATTGAATTTAAATGAATGAGCTCACAAATCATTGAAAATTAGTGAACGAAGTTTTTAGCTACACTCTAAGTAAAATTTCACATTATAAACGAATTCGCATTTATTTTTATACAAACGAAAATATTGCCTAAAATGTTATCATAAAAAATAAAAGTAACATAAAAATAACAGCTAATTTTATTAACAACCATATTAAGGGCATTATATCACTTCATTTTTCATAAAGAGATTGATTAACACCCTACAAGAAAATATTCGAAATTATTATACAATATGGTTTTTTTTTTCTAATTAATTAAATCGTGACCAAAACAATGAAAAATTATAGCATATAATATAAAATGATTTACTAAATAGCCTTCGACCATTCAAAAAATTTGAATAAAAAACCAAAAAATTACGCGAAAATTTTTTTTATTAAATTATAAAGAAAAATTTTACGATTTGATTTACATTTATTATTATGGTCAGCTTTTAATGATGAGTTAATCAACACAACATGAATTTGATGGGCCAGTTTGATGAAGATCTTAGTGTTAAATTTATTTTATAGGAAAATTATTGATTGCCCATATCGAAATTATCGTTTTTAAGATATTTACTTTAATCTTTACTCTTTTCCACTGTTCAGTCAGCAGTCATCGAAAAATTATAGAGAATACGTTCACTAACAAAAAAGAAACATTTTTTTTTTCTCTAAAAAATTTATTATTAAAAAATTTGCATATTTCTTGGAGTTTCCAATACAAGTCCAACAGAATTCAAAGATAAATTTTAAACTTTAATTTAAAACACTCCGAAAATAACAAACAAATCATTTATAGTCAGAAAATCCTTGTTAATAATTTAAAATTCCAAAAATTTTCCCATTAGCTCCTAGTAATGTTGAAGTTAAACTATTGAAGAAATACCTATAGGTACTCAAATTATATATTCATAATTTGTCAATACATAATTTTCAACTTTTAATGAAAAAAGGATAATAAGAATTCCAAAAATTATTTAGAAAAAAAAAAATACACATAAAATTTTTTTTTTGAATTTAAATTAAGTTTTGAATATTTTAAGGTGAGCCTTGTTTTTCTACTCAACATGTTTTATTATAATGTAGATATCCTTCTCAATAAACATAAGATCTGAAATGAAAAAGGTGAAAAGTAATAAGTTATAATAAGATTTTAATATACATATACAATTTTACATAATATCGTAAAATAATAAAAAAGTTAAATTGAGTAAAATATTAGAATTTTTAACACCTGTACATAAAATTCGAAAAGAATGTGCGAAACAAAGTTCTTATAATGGGCTCTGGACACGAATCAAATATAAGACACCTAAATTTTTTTTCTTAAAAATAAAATATATTTAATTCTTAAAGAATTTTCGCATCTTTATTTTTTGCTTTAGAAAAGCTTCACAATGTTGTTACCAAAATAAATAGTAGAAAATATCCAATTTTTTTGAAGAAAATATAAAATAAAAATAAATTTTGAATAACGCTAATAATTTTTAACTAGTATACTTAATAAATATAATGTAGAAATTAGGTTAGATTTTAGAATTTAATGTAGTCGATGTTGTCAAATTAATCCAAAATTAAAAAAATTCAAAAGTGTATAAAAAATTATTCTTGCCTATATTAGAAAATAAATACACTTAACTTAGCTATTTTAAAAAATATAAATATACTATAATAAGGTATGCTAATTAAATAATAAGTGTTGAATTAAAAACAATTAAAAATTTTTGAAATAAATTGAAAAAATAAAAACAAAAACCAAAATATATTACTAAATAAATTGGACTACTAATAAATTGAATTTTTAATTGTGTTAAATTTACTAGGTAAATACAAAAAAAAATTAAATGTTATTAATAAAAAGAATAATTAATAAAAAAATATGGTGAATATTTAATTATTTTTCAACTACATTTCTAAATGACGCCCTAGATTTCAGGCGCCCAATAAAAATGCATACATTTTGCTAGTATAGTAGAACCGCCTCTGTGTTGCAGTAAAACTTATGATTTATAAGCATTATTTAAAAGTTTAAACAAGAAAAACAGATATGGTAAGCAGATTTTTAAATTTTTATAATTGCATTTTTAGATTTTTATAATTAGAGGACTATAAAATTTAAGTAAAGTTATATCGGTGCTCAAATCTTAATTTTTCAATTAGTTTTCAAAATATATTCAATTAAAATTATTTAAATTGATTTTTGTGAATATTTCGACTGTAATTCATACGAAAGTCTCATCTAAAATTCAAAAATCATATGGGGGAGACCCTATTTTTCCAAATATTAGATTTTCCATAAGTATTATATGGTAAATACCTTGAAATATGAGAAAAAGTTGCCATTTAAATCAGATTTTTTTCATAATTACTTGAAATATTCATATTGCAATATTTTTAATTAACTTAATAGTGAATTGATTGAATAAAAATCATCATAAGGACATCGCATGCCTATATGGAAGCAACAGTTTTAAATGACGTGAATGTAAACGATAATAATATTCAATATCCTATTATATATCCTACATTTCAATGTATTAAGGGTGGATAAGTAGTACTAAAGAGATGATATTTACAGTAATACGTACAGTTGC